TGTTTGAACTTGTTATCAGTATAAAAGACACCTGTCCACAACCTCAAACAGTCACACTCCAAACTCCACTATGGCCAAGACCAAAGAGCTGTCAAAGGACACCAGAAACAAAATTGTAGACCTGCACCAGGCTGGGAAGACTGAATCTGCAATAGGTAAGCAGCTTTGTTTGAAGAAATCAACTGTGGGAGCAATTATTAGGAAATGGAAGACATACAAGACCACTGATAATCTCCCTCGATCTGGGGCTCCACGCAAGATCTCACCCCGTGGGGTCAAAATGATCACAAGAACGGTGAGCAAAAATCCCAGAAACACACGGGGGGACCTAGTGAATGACCTGCAGAGAGCTGGGACCAAAGTAACAAAGCCTACCATCAGTAACACACTACGCCGCCGGGGACTCAAATCCTGCAGTGCCAGACGTGTCCCCCTGCTTAAGCCAGTACATGTCCAGGCCCGTCTGAAGTTTGCTAGAGTGCATTTGGATGATCCAGAAGAGGATTGGGAGAATGTCAGATGAAACCAAAATATACCTTTTTGGTAAAAACTCAACTCGACGTGTTTGGAGGACAAAGAATGCTGAGTTGCATCCAAAGAACACCATACCTACTGTGAAGCATGGGGGTGGAAACATCATGCTTTAGGGCTGTTTTTCTGCAAAGGGACCAGGACGACTGATCCGTGTAAAGGAAAGAATGAATGGGGCCATGTATCGTGAGATTTTGAGTGAAAACCTCCTTCCATCAGCAAAGGCATTGAAGATGAAACGTGGCTGGGTCTTTCGGCATGACAATGATCCCAAACACACCGCCCGGGCAACGAAGGAGTGGCTTCGTAAGAAGCATTTCAAGGTCCTGGAGTGGCCTAGCCAGTCTCCAGATCTCAACCCCATAGAAAATCTTTGGAGGGAGTTGAAAGTCTGTGTTGCCCAGCGACAGCCCCAAAACATCACTGCTCTAGAGGAGATATGCATGGAGGAATGGGCCAAAATACCAGCAACAGTGTGTGAAAACCTTGTGAAGACTTACAGAAAACGTTTGACCTGTGTCATTGCCAACAAAGGGTATATAACAAAGTATTGAGAAACTTTTGTTATTGACCAAATACTTATTTTCCACCATAATTTGCAAATAAATTCATTAAAAATCCTACAATGTGATTTTCTGGATTTTTTTCTCTCCATTTTGTCTGTCATAGTTGACTATGATGAAAATTACAGGCCTCTCTCATCTTTTTAAGTGGGAGAACTTGCACAATTGGTGGCTGACTAAATACTTTTTTCCCCCACTGTAGGTGTTCCTCTTGTCCAGGTGGGAAAGGGCAGTGTGGAGTGCCATAGAGATTGCATCATCTGTGGATCTGTTGGGGCGGTATGCAAATTTGAGTAGGTCTAGGGTTTCTGGGATAATGGTGTTGATGTGAGCCATTACCAGCCTTTCAAAGCACTTCATGGCTACAGACGTCAGTGCTACGGGTCGGTAGTCATTTAGGCAGGTTATCTTAGTGTCCTTGGGCACAGGGACTGTGGTGGTCTGCTTGAAACATGTTGGTATTACAGACTCAGTCAGAGACATGTTGAAAATGTCAGTGAAGACACTTGCCAGTTGCTCAGCGCATGCTCGGAGTACACGTCCTGGTAATCCATCTGGCCCTGCGGCCTTGTGAATGTTGACCTGCTTATAAGTCTTACTCACATCGGCTACGGAGAGCGTGATCACATAGTCATCCGGAACTGCTGATGCTCTCATGCATGCTTCAGTGTTGCTTGCCTCGAAGCGAGCATAGAAGTGATTTAGCTCGTCTGGTAGGCTTGTGTCAGTGGGCAGCTCGCGGCTGTGCTTCCCTTTGTAGTCTGTAATAGTTTTCAAACCCTGCCACATCCGACGAGCGTCAGAGCCGGTGTAGTACGATTCAATCTTAGTCCTGTATTGACTCTTTGCCTGCTTGATGGTTCGTCGGAGGGCATAGCAGGATTTCTTATAAGCGTCCTGGTTAGAGTTCCGCTCCTTGAAAGTGGCAGCTCTACCCTTTAGCTCAGTGCGGATGTTGCCTGTAATCCATGGCTTCTGGTTAGGGTATGTACGTATGGTTACTGTGGGAACAACGTCATTGATGCACTTATTGATGAAGCCAGTGACTGATGTGGTGTACTCCTCAATGCTATCGGAAGAATCCCGGAACATATTCCGGTCTGTGCTAGCAAAACAGTCCTGTAGCTTAGCATCTACGTCATCTGACCGCTGTTTTATTAACCGAGTCTGGTGCTTCCTGCTTTAGTTTTTGCTTATTAGCAGGAATCAGGAGGATAGAGTTATGGTCATATTTGCCAAATGCCAATTTCTCTCTGGTTGCACATTTAACATGCTGGTAGAACGGATGTAAGTTTCCCTGCATTAAAGTCCCCGGCCACTAGGAGCGCTGCCTCTGGATGAGCGTTTTCCTGTTTACTTATTGCCTTATATCTCATTGAGTGCAGTCTTAGTGCCAGCATTGGTTTGTGGTGGTAAATAGACAGCGGGAAACTGTTAAGTGTTAAAAACCCAGCAGCGTTGCAATTCTTGACACATTCAAACCGGTGCGCTTGGCATCTACTAGCATACCCTGTTTAAATGCACTTAAATCTTGTCTTGCCCATTCACCCTCTGAATGGCATACATACACAATCCATGTCTCAATTGTCTGATGGCTTAAGAATCCTTATTTTACCTGTCTCCTCACCTTCATCTACACTGATTGATATGGATTTACCAGGTGACATCAATAAGGGATCATAGCTTTCACCTGGTCTGTCAATGTCATTTAAAGAGCAGGTGTTCCTCATGTTTTGTACACTCAATGTATATTTCCACATTATGAGGTTGGAATGATACTGTGAAATTGTGAAAATGATAATGCCCTTTTAGTGTAAGAGCTGGTTGAAAAGACCATGTGAAATTTCAGCCTGTTTTGGTGGGATGGAGTTTTGGCATAGGACTGTAAATTAGTTAATAGACCAATAAGAAGTTCCAATCCTCTCTGCCAATAACACCTAGTTTTCAGTTTTGCCCTCCCCACTCAGACCACTGCCAGACAGCTCTAGCCAAATTCTTGCTAGATAAATTGCTCTTTGCTTTAGAAGCTATTTTTGTTTATTTTTGACCATTTTAATTGAAAACAATCACAGTAGGGTACTTAATTGTTACCCAGAAATGATTTTATATTGAGATAAAAATGGCTGCCTTGGACCTTTTAAGGACTGGCACAATGGGTTTTGCCCATTCACTCACTTTGTTCTTGACTAAAGCGTGCGTCCAAATCAGCCTCTACTTTTGTTCTGATAGCATAATGTACGGGTTTGCTGTCTGGCTTAATGCTAAGCATCACTGCATCATACTACCCAGCTCTCCATTAAAGACTTCTCCATGTTTCTTTAAGATGGCGGGTAGGCCTGTCTCCATGTGTGATTGTACGCTCTGATGGCCAAGTATGATTTTCTCCAGCCACGAACGTCCCTGTAGTAATGGATAATCTCCTTTCACGACGTAGACTGGCAGCTTTTCAGTTTGTCTGTTTAACTGAACTTTGACCTCAGTGATGCCTCTCACAGCAACAGATTCACCTGTGAAAGTCTTTATTACGATGTGTGCTGTCTGAAGTGGAAGGTGTTTCAGTATCTTTTTGTAGACTGTGTCTGACACAAGATGCAGCTGCCACTGTGTCAAGCTCCATACTCACTGTCTGCCCCTTTAGCAAGGAATTGTCATAGTAGCCGTGCGGCCACCCAGCAACAGTCAGTATATTCAGTGTGACTACCTCGTTTGATGAGTCGCTCACCTCTGTGTTCTCCTGCTCAACAACGTGAACATGTCTAATTTTCTTTTGTTGGAATGTCTTTATCTTGTTTTTTGTTGTCAGTCTTTGACGTTTTCTGAGTTTTGTTTTGTTTCTGCAGGCCCTTTTTGTGGCCCTTTTTACCACAGGCTCGGCAATCCATGTCCTTACACCAGCATGTAGACACCAGATGTCACACCTTGCCTCATCAGAAGCATGTGCCTTGCTTTCCCTGTCTCTGATTTTCAGTTGCAACTTTGCATTTTTCGTGATACACCCAACTGCTGAGCCTCTTTAGCAGCTAGTTCCATGGACACACTGACTTCTATGGCCTTTACTTTCAGTCAATAGTCTCTTTTGTGTAGCTTCACTCCCTAGCCCACATACTAGTCTGTCTCTAATAGTGTCATTTAGAACAGCAATTCTCAACTGGGAGGTTTTGAAACATACTCCAGGCTGAACTTTAACTACTAAAGCCAGGTAGAAAGTGTGCAGAAATCATAATGAACCTACATTTTTATATAATTTTATCTCTGAAAATGTTTTTCTTCAATTAGTATTTTGAATACAGAGTTAATTAGCACTATTTAGTAGATTTGGTTGATTTTGTGGTCTCAAATCAGTGTGCTTACTAACATTCTTCATTGAGGATATGGGCAACATTTTTTATTTAACCTTTATTTTGACAGGGAGTCAATGCTGAGACCAAGCGATCTTTTCCAGATGAGCCTGGAAAAATAAATGGATTATTGACGATGTACCATCTCAGATTGTTCTGAAATTGTTCCTGTAGTTAGAAACGGGTAAGATTAGCATTCCTGCAACATTATTTTGTGAAATATAACTTGGTCTTTGAGAAATTAAGCTAATTGATTGCTATGTGACCTCTGAAGCAGAAAAGTTTGTTCATGTGTCGGGGTTCAACACTTCGGTGTTTTATAAAAAAAGTTTTATATTTATAAGACACCTATATATTTTATACTTTTAAAACCTTTGTTTTAAGTGTTAGTTTTCGGGACCACAGTGTTGGTGCTGCTTTTAACACGCTTTGTTTGGATGGATTTTTGCTGTCCCCTGGAGCTAGCATTAGCAGGCTAGCTTCAACTATCTCGGTTGTAGCAGGCAAAGCTTGTCTCACGTTGCGGTTGCCTCTTGTAGCCAGGACAGTTTCTGACCTGCGTATAAGCATGTCAGACTGTTCTGTTTTGGAGTCGGATCTGGAGATGGACAGCAAAGTAATTAAATGTGAGACCTTTGATATACTCATTGTAGTCGATGAGGAACTGATCAATATACTTGTGATAAATGCTAACAGCTCCATGCCTCAAAGGAGCCGATCATTGAGCTACTAGAGGAGAATAGGGTCCTAAGTGAACGTCTTGCTCTGGCTAAGGAGACTTCAAGACTGCATGCTGTTTTTGATACAACAATTCTAAATGACAGAGGGGGATATCCAGTGTGCTCTATTACAGTGGTTTCCAACCAGGGGTACTAGGACCATAGGGGGGACTTGAGAAGACTTGTGAGACTATAGGCTTACTGGTAAAATGCACATGAGGGGGGTATTTCAGTTGGTGGTACAGTAATCGAAAAAGGTTGGGAACCACTGCTCTATGAGACTGGGCTCATCTGCAGTAGCTACTGAGGATACTACCTTGGACCACTTTCCCTTACTAACACATCCCACTGTGTTTTGCTCTACTCCATCGGAAGCAAAGTGGAATCGAGTTAGAAATAGGAGAGGAGGATTATTCCAACGCATCTTCCCTCTCCCCTCTCGTCCAGACCTGCGGCTCTCTTACCGTTTTTCAGCTTTGCGCCCCCTGACTTCACCTGGGCACTGGGATGATTCACTTAATCCCTTACTGCAGCTCTCTGCCCCACTTATTGCAGAACCGTTGACTTATATCTTTAATTTTACAATTGTTTCTGGTGTTATCCCTAAGATCTGGAAAGCGGCACCTGTCCTCCCCCTACATAAAGAAGGAGATCCTTCTGGCTTAGATAACTACTGTCCAATCTCCAAATGATCTTGCCTTTCTAAAGTTTTAGAATCCCTGGCCAACTGTCAGCTAAGAGCTTTTTTAACTTCTCACTCTATTCTTAATGTGCACCAATCCGGTTTTAGAACTGCTATGCTTGTTTTAGATGATGTGTTAAATTGCTTAGATCATAAAAATCAATGTGCTTTCCAAGTCCTTTGAAACTGTTGACCATCACACACTCATTCAAAGGTTTGAGAATGATCTGTCAGACAGGACACTGTGTGATTTCTGATGGCGTTAAGTCTAGTTTCCTAGATATTACGAAAGGTGTACCACAGGGGTCGATATTAGGACCTGTTCTCTTGACTATTTATATAAATAATATTGGTCTATCTGTTACCTTTTAATGTTCATCTGTATGCAGACGATACTGTTATGTATGCCATTGCCCCAATTGTAGACCAGGCGATGGAATACATATTATTAATTTAATGGTTCTCCCATCGATCGGGTTCCCGCTTATAAATATCTGGGCTTTTGGATTGACAAGGATTTAACGTTTAAAAAAACATACTGACGAGCTAGTTAAAAAGCAAAGATTTAAAGTGGGCTTATTTTTGTAGAATAGAGCATTGGGGAACCAGGAGTGGTGACATTAATTGGAGAGGGAGAGAAGAGCGATGGGGAGAGCAAGAGGGAGGGGTTGTCCAGACTGTTTTCACACACTTGCTTTGACCACCACGCTACAGAAAGAGAAAGAAATCTGTTATGAGCTGAGCTGAACATAACAGTATGCCAGTGGAAGGGAGGACAGTAGCAGGTGACCCAACTGTGGTTTGATACTATGAATTCCCATAGTAGCCAATTCAGTTGCAGTCATTCTGTTTTTATGGTCATTCTGTTACTGATTTGGTACATAATTATGTGTTTTAATCACTTAATAAATCATAAACCAAATTGTTCTCACTAAAAACACTAATTAGTTGGTCAACCTTTACTTGTTACTTCTGTGATCTTTCATTATTCTCATGAGGGAGAGAAATTAGAAAAAATCTTAAGATATGTGGGTTTTTGGTAAGAGAATTACAAGACCTTAGGCAATATTTCTTTAAACTTAGAGAAGGCAAATAAGATCTGCAAAATGAAATATAATTGTTAATATTAGTTGGCATGGGTCTTTACTTCAACGTTATTGTGTTGATGTATTTTTAGTACTTTTTAAGACTTTTTCTGCTAGATGTTTTCTAAGACACCTTTTCCTTCTGTTTGACCAGAAATCAAAGCCTTTGCTTATTCAAATAATGTTAGATGGAAAATGGTTGAAAAATGTATCTATGCCTTCATTTCTAAAAAAATATAGACTCTTAGCTTTTATTTGACACCAAGAACTTCACATCGTAGTGCTCATGGGGCTTTTTACCTGGAAATGCCCCCATCTTCTCTTTTGATTAAGGCTTGAGGGCCAAAACGCCTCCATTATGACTGCTGAAAATACATCTTAGTAATAGTTTATTTGCGAGTCATGACCGTATTTCTCATACTCTATTTCTATCTCCTCCACAGACGGAGAACATCGATGGGATCTTCTGCGTGCCGGACATCAAGCTGCATAGCAACCCATCGGCATTCAACGTGTACTGCAACGTGCGTCACTGCGTGCTGGACTGGCAGCAGCGGGAGGCATCCCTGTCTCTGGCCTCGAGGAGCTCTGTGCAGAGCGGCGACTCGGACAGCGAGGAGGAGGAGGAGTACCGTGAGCCCACCTTCAAGCTTCCCAAGGTAACCAATGCCATCTGTTATGTTACTTCAGAAGCAGAGTGATGGGAACAGGGTTGGTGGAAAGGTAGAAATAGAGTATGACAGACATTCCCATTCAAATCAACGTTCCATGACCGGTGTACCCACATGTAGTCAAATTAAGTGCTCAATCAAATTGCTGTGATCGGAAGGGCTTTGTCCATTCGATTAATTACATTTTTGTGGGTGGAAAGTAACAATGGGCAAGTTAAAACAAATGCACTCTGAGTGAGGCAAACTGGGTAGGTGGAGGGGAGAGGGATGCTTGCCGTTATGACCTGAGAAGTAGTCCTACATTTGATTTATTAGGATCCCCATTAGCCGACGACAATGGCGACAGCTAGTCTTACTGGGGATCGACACATAACGAAAAATACATTACAGACAAAATACTTTACAATTTACATGCACACACTACATGTTAATGTTTTTAAATGTATCTATCAGTTACACATACATGTCAGTACATACACACAACAAGTAGGTCACATGGGGGAGAGGCGTTGTGCCGTGAGGTGTTGCTTTATTAGTTTTTTTGATACCAGGTTTGCTGTTCATTTCGCTATATAAGATGGAAGGGAGTTCCATGCACTCATGGCTCTGTATAATACTGTACGTTTCCTTGAATTTGTTCTGGACCTGGGGACTATGAAAAGACCCCTGGTGGCATGTCTGGTGGGGTAAGTGTGTGTGTAAGTTGACTATGCAAACAATTTTGAATTTCTAACACATTAATGTGTCTTATAAAATCAAGAAGTGACGCAGTCAGTCTTTCCTCAACTCTTAGACAAAAAGAGACTGGCATTAATATTCATTCTCTATAAGCATGCTGAAAGTCTGTTGTTAATTTGAGAAATAGCATTGTATTTGGTCAAACACCATTTTTTCCAACTGTTTGCTAAGAGCTGGCAGCAAGCTGATAGGTCTGCTGTTAGAACCAGTAAAGGCCTCTTTACCACTCTTGGGTAGCGGAATGACTGGCTTCCCTCCAGGCCTAAGGACAAAGACTTTCCTCTAAGCTCACATTAAAGATATAACAGATAGGAGTGGCTATAGAGTCTGTCTAAGTTGTCAATGTCAGGAGGTTTGTCATTATTGATCGATAACAATACTTTTTCCACCTCTCCCACACTAACTTTACAAAATTCAAACTTGCAATATTTTTTACCTGACTCGCTTTTCAAAGATGGCTAGAAATGTACATGTTTGGTGCTCTTATAGGAAGCAATCACTCCCACATTACTGACTACAAATTAGCTATAACTGGGCTAATAACTCACTAACTAGCAAAGAATATGAACAAATGTGCACGTGGCTACATGCAGCTCTCGCTTTGTTCTCAAAACAAGCGCATAATAATCGCGACCACTCATGCTGTAAAACAGTCCAGTTCAAAGTGAATGGCATAAATCCATATATGGCAGTGGTCTATTTGCATATAGGCCTACTGCTGCTCTGATTGTTGATGGCGCACCGTGTAGAGTACGGGTCTGAGTCGTGCCTGCAATAGAATCCTACTCGGATGCGCTCTGCCTAAAACAAAATCTCTTGCATAGTTTGTTTTGGTTTCGGTATGTTTCATTGAAAGTGGCTAATATTGCATTGATTCGATCATAATTCCCACATTAAAGGGAAACGTTAATAGTGTTAACTAATAGGGAAAACTTTAGGAAGTTGTGAAGTTCAATCTTGTGCTTCTCTGCGCAGGCTGATATTTATTTTGACGGCAGTCCTGGGGAGCTGCATGAGTGCTCCCTGCATGCTTGCAGCTTAGTAGGGAACATTGCTCCTAAGTAAGTTGCACATCATATGTGAGCGACCGGCTCGATTCGGTCTTATGTAGCAACATTTTATTTTTATTTTTACATTGGATAAAAGTAGTAAAACTGTATACTACAGCTGAAGAACAATGGGAAAGTAATTCTGCTTTGAAAGTTTTCTCACTTTTGAGAAAATGGCCCTTGAATGTTTAAGTAAACCTATTGGAGAGGTCTTCTTTGTCTACACCCATTCGTCATCATTCACAACCCATCTCTTAAGGATTCACATGTGAGGCCATATACTAAACAACAAAATATTTCAAAACGAAAGGCTGGTTTATACTACGTCTATCGACAGTTGTCGCAGTGACATCATGGACATTCTATTGTCGTCCGACATCAAACTCGTTATGAAAAAGTATAAACACAAACTACAGGCTGCATGATGCCTGGTGGTCCAAAATAGCATAACTAGTGTATTTTAACACCAATAAACCCACCCGTTTTAAAAATGTGTATATGTCAATCTAGCAAACCAGGCAACTAAAAGCATATTTCTAAACAATGTTTTGGTTAGTTTCTAGCTTGTAAGCTGACTAGCCAGTTCAAATAATGACCATATCATATAGCTGACAACGTCTACACATTAGCTAATTTGTCTTCATTCAACAAGATCATTATTTACAAGTTAATGGCGAGCCAATTACAGAAAATAGCTTACAGTTCTGAGTGTGACTAAATAAAAGCAGGGCATTCAACCGGAGAATTTTAGAATTTTAGAACTTGGACACAGTAAATTCGCTCTGGCTATCTACTCCGATTTCAGAGCACTCTCGTCTGAGTGTGCCAGAGCGCAGAATAACTGATGAATTTGCGAACTTTCAACACCCGTTGAATATGGCCGGTGTCAGTAAACTGTAATTAAAATTGTTGCCAGCAGCACAGTTACAGTCACCAACGCTATGGATAACATGAAAACAGCCTAACCAGCTCTGCTAGGGTGAGTAAAATGGTCAGAGTGCGGTGTTCTCTCATTTGTGTCTGGGAGTAGCTAGCAAGCTAGCCAACGTTAGCTTGGGTACTTGACTGCCGTTTTGAGGTCAGAATGCTTGGATCAACCCTACTCCTCGGCCAGAGCATCCAGTGTGCACTCTCAACGCTCTGAGAGAAAAACGCTCTGAATGCACAGGATACAGAAGGTGTAGTGAAATGGTTACTTGCATAGTGGAGTCTTTTGTTTAGACATGTACAGTGAGGGAAAAAAGTATATGATCCCCTGCTGATTTTGTACGTTTGCCCACTGACAAAGAAATGATCAGTCTATAATTTTAATGGTACGTTTATTTGAACAGTGAGAGACAGAATAAGAACAAAAAAATCCAGAAAAACGCATGTCAAAATGTTATAAATTGATTTGCATTTTAATGAGGGAAATAAGTATTTGACCCCCTCTCAATCAGAAAGATTTCTGTCTCCCAGTTGTCTTTTATACAGGTAACAAGCTGAGATTAGGAGCACACTCTTAAAGGGAGTGCTCCTAATCTCAGTTTGTTACCTGTATAAAAGACACCTGTCCACAGAAGCAATCAATCAATCAGATTCCAAACTCTCCACCATGGCCAAGACCAAAGAGCTCTCCAATGATGTCAGGGACAAGATTGTAGACCTACACAAGGCTGGAATGGGCTACAAGACCATCACCAAGCAGCTTGGTGAGAAGGTGACAACAGTTGGTGCGATTATTCGCAAATGGAAGAAACACAAAATAACTGTCAATCTCCCTCGGCCTGGGGCTCCATGCAAGATCTCACCTCGTGGAGTTGCAATGATCATGAGAACGGTGAGGAATCGGCCCAGAACTACACGGGAGGATCTTGTCAATGATCTCAAGGCAGCTGGGACCATAGTCACCAAGAAAACATTTGGTAACACACTACGCTGTGAAGGACTGAAAACCTGCAGCACCCGCAAGGTCCCCCTGCTCAAGAAAGCACATATACAGGCCCGTCTGGAGTTTGCTAATGAACATCTGAATGATTCAGAGGAGAACTGGGTGAAAGTGTTGTGGTCAGATGAGACCAAAATGGAGCTCTTTGGCATCAACTCAACTCGCTGTGTTTGGAGGAGGAGGAATGCTGCCTATGACCTCAAGAACACCATCCCCACCGTCAAATATGGTGGTGGAAACATTATGCTTTGGGGGTGTTTTTCTGCTAAGGGGACAGGACAACTTTACCGCATCAAAGGGACGATGGACGGGGCCATGTACTGTCAAATCTTGGGTGAGAACCTCCTTCCCTCAGCCAGGGCATTGAAAATGGGTCATGAATGGGTTTCCAGCATGATAATGACCCAAAACACACGGCCAAGGCAACAAAGGAGTGGCTCAAGAAAAAGCACATTAAGGTCCTGGAGTGGCCTAGCCAGTCTCCAGTCCTTAATCCCATAGAAAATCTGTGGAGGGAGCTGAAGGTTCGTGTTGCCAAACGTCAGCCTCGAAACCTTAATGACTTGGAGAAGACCTGCAAAGAGGAGTGGGACAAAATCCCCCCTGAGATGTGTGCAAAACTGGTGGCCAACTACAAGAAACGTCTGACCTCTGTGATTGCCAACAAGTACTAAGTCATGTTTTGCAGAGAGGTCAAATACTTATTTCCCTCATTAAAATGCAAATCAATTCATAACATTTTTGACATGCGTTTTTCTGGATTTTTTTGTTGTTATTCTGTCTCTCACTGTTCAAATAAACCTACCATTAAAATGATAGACTGATCATTTCTTTGTCAGTGGGCAAACGTACAAAATCAGCAGGGGATCAAATACTTTTTTCCCTCACTGTAGGTAGCTAACTAGCTAGCTAAACAATGAACCATAATCCCAACTCATAACGTTACTACCCTGCATGAATATGCAGGTAGCTAACCAACCAGTTTCAATGTTAGCTAGCTATTTAACATTAGGCAATAACTAGCAATGCAAATGGCTTTGAGATACGAATAATATTACTACACAGATCATACATGTAACATTAGCTAGAGAGCCAGCCAGCTAACGTTAGCTAGCTAGCTAACAGAACGCTTTAACTTGAAATGTAAATTACTTTCTGACAAAATTAGAAACTTATAATATCTGAAAATGTAGCTAGCTGGACTATCTTACCCGTATACATGGATGGACACTTCTCTCCCTCTGTCACGGATGCCATGGCTGCCCTTAGTTTGAAGATGTAATCCGGAGACATTTGTCTTAGACAACAACCTTCTGTGTTCTCTTTTCAACTCCCTCTGCATATTTGCAATCAAACGCCAGAATTCTCTCCATCTCCTTAGCTATCATACTCTAATTCCACCTGGCATTCCACTAATTTCAAAACTCGGTCCTACAGAAAGTGGAGAGCAACACTTTTGCAGTTCTGCTACGTGATATCTTTCAAAAAAGCTGCGTTAGAAAGGAATACCTACACATACTGACCAGCTCATGTTATAGACAGAAGCGTGCTACATGTATTTGTATTTATTATGGATCCACATTAGCTACTCTTCCTGGGGTCCAGCAAAATTAAGGCAGTTCATACAATTGTAATACATTCACAGATTTCACAACACAATGTGTGCCCTTAGGCCCCTACTCCACCACTGCCACATATCTACAGTACAAAATCCATGTGTACGTGTGTGTATATTATTGTGTGTGTTTATGCATTTGTCTTTGCCTATGTTTGTGTTGCTTCACAGTCCCCGCTGTTCTGTAAGGTGTTTTTTGTATCTGTTTTTTAAATCTGATTTTACTACTTGCATCAGTTACTTGATGTGGAATAGAGTTCCATGTAGTCATTGCTCTATGTAGTACTGTGCACCTCCCATATTCTTTTCTGGACTTGGGGACAGTGAAGAGACCTCTGGTGGCATGTCTTGTGGGGTATGCATGGGTGTCCGAGCTTTGCGCCAGTCCTTTTTCTTCCTTTACTCGGAAGCGGTGGACAGTGTGCACTCCTGAGTCGGATTAGATGTCCACTTGAATACCTCTTCTCCGTTGGCGGTGTCTTGGAGCAGCCTCTGGGATATGTTCAATTGCCCTGGGGGTTACAAACAAAGGATCCAATTCGGGAATGTCGTATTCCTGGTCGTAATGCTGGTGTGTTACCGCCACTCTGATATCCAAAAGTTATTTCCGGCTGTATGTAATAACACAAAAAAACTTTCTGGGTTAATAATGTAAGAAATAACACAGAAAAGAACAAAACACTGCAAAGTTGCTTATTCCTCCATCAGTTTTTTTAATATAATTTTGCCGTGATGGCGAGCGGGGATGCAGATCCTGATCAGTCTTCTGTTACATTTGATACATTGGAGCAGCACGGAGAGCGAGCAAAGTTGATACATTGCATATCATTTAATCCCTGGTATAACCAGTGCACAGGCCAGTCTGAGTAGGCATAGCACGTTCTCTGTCACGCAGCAGTGCCAGAGAAGAAAAATAGCTTTGCGACAGGCATGTGTGCAGTTTAACAGCAAAGAAAACATCTCGTATCTAGCTCAAATGGTAAAAAAAATATCACCAATACAACCGGAGCTACCTTTTTTTATTATTATTTTTTTTAATTACGCACGCGTTTGATATAATTTCACAAACCATGTCACGGGTCGATAATTATTGGTTTGATAACAAACAGTGTTGTTCAGTCATGTTCCCTAGCTTGCTAACAACCTGTTAACTTGACAGATAATTTCTGGTGCTCCTTACATTCTGTTTGGTGCCTCACGTTTTTAAAAGTTGTGAGCATTGCGTTTGTGGGAGAGAGAGCGGTGTGTGTTTATGTTAGAGAGGGAGACCAAGTGTGTGTGTGTGTTACAACTGAAGAGTAAAGAAGGTTTCATGCAGTGTTTTCCCCTTACTGCCACAATGACATGCAGATCATTATGCATGTATATTCCTTCCTCCCATTCCTCCAGCCAAATCACAGATAGGCCTTTGCAAATATTAACAAATCAGCCATTCTAAGTGTGAATATCAGTGACAGGTTTTTTGTGTAGCACATGCGCATAACGTTTAGAAAACAGGAACTATTGTCAGGAGGATGTGGCGAACAGGACGCTAGGTCACTCCGTTTCCACAATGTATGATCTGGGCTGTTCATCTTGACCTTTCACTGTTGTCGTGGTCGTCCAGCCTTTGTCTTGGTCAAGCACGGAGTCACCTGGCTATAGTGGTGGCAGGGGTCTGGCTCCGTGACGCCTGTTGTAGTAGGTCCTGTGAATGCTTTTGCCTCAGTCTTGCTTAGCAACCTTCTTAAAGTCTGTCCACCTAGGTTCTTTGACAGGGTTGGAAGCGTCGTCCGTAACTGACGCTCCATGAATAGTTGTGCTGGGCTACAGCCTGTAGCCACAATCGGTGTCACTCTGTCTGTAAGGAGAGCGAGAAAGGGGTCTTCTTGCTTTAATATTTTCTTAGCTGTCTGGACAGCTCTCGCAACTTCTCCATTAGCTTGTGGGAAGTGAGGGCTGCCATATCACGTGATGGAAGCCATACTCTTCCTTGAAAGACTGGAACTCAGAAGACGTGAACTGCCTTGCATTATCGGACACCAAGACCTCTGCTATTCCGAAATGCGAGAACATGCTCTTCAGCTTCCCGATCACTCTTTTGCTTGATGCATCTGGCATGTGTACGACTTCTATGAATCTCGAGAAATAGTCAACAACAACCAGGTACTGCTGTCTGTCAACCTAAGGCACATAAGTAATACAGCAAAAAATGTGGCAAAGAAATTAACTTTTTGTCCTGAATACAAAGCGTTATGTTTGGGGGAAATCCAATACAACACATGTACCACTCTTATTATTTTCAAGCATGGTGGTGGCTGCATCATGTTATGGGTATGCTTGTCATCGTCAAGGGAGTTTTTTTTGGGGGGGGATAAACATAAACTGAATACAGCTTTAAGCATAGGCACTGGGAGACGAATTCACCTTTCAGCATGACAATAACCTAAAACATAAGGCCAAATCTACACTGGAGTTGCTTACCAAGATGACATTGAATGTTCCTGAGCGGCCTAATTACAATTTTGACTTAAATCAGCTTGAAAATCTATGGCAAGACTTGATCAACAATCAACTTGACAGAGCTTGAATAATTTTTTATAGAATAGTTGGCCAATAGTGTACAATCCAGGTGTGCAATGCTCTTAGAGACTTACTCAAAAAGACTCACAGCTGTAATCGCCACCAAAGGTGCTTCTACAAAGTATTGACTCAGGGGTGTGAATACTTATGTAAATGTGATATTTCTGTATTTCATTTTCAATAAATTAGCAAAAATGTTTAAAAACATGTTTTCACTTGGTCATTATGTGGTATTGTGTAGATTGGTGAGATTTATTTTTAATCCATTTTGAATTCAGGCTGTAACACAACAAAATGTAGAATATGTCAAGGGGTATGAATACTTTCTGAAGACGCTGTAACTACAGGAAACAGACAAAAGACAACGAAAATGAGCGTTTCTTATTGGGTAAGTCAGGTAGACGGTCTTCACTGTTTCAATCTGTTTTTGTCCATTTTGTGCCTTATCAATAAGATGTGGGTTGTTGGATGTTTGGGGGGGGGGGGGGGGGGGGTGGATAATAGGAGAGAGCAGTGGTCCATTTCTATCTTTGCACAACCCCCAGATTGATACAACTCTGAAAGTTGCCTGTATAGAACCCAATAAATGGGAATGTGCATGTTTAGACCAATTTTTTCATATAGAGGTCTAGCCTAAATTTTGTGGATTGAGTGTTATCTAGGCTAAACCCTTTCTGTGGGGTTTTTGGTTTTAGATTAAATGGTACCAGTGACTGCTTTTCTCTCTTTAGATAATTGGCGCTGGACAATGTTAGGTATTTAAACCTCTCTTTGGCGTAGGTGGTATTTTGCGTTCTGTGTGATGTTGTAGCTTATAGCTATCTGATAATAACTGTATGGTGTGTGTGTTTTCTCTCTAGATCATTGGCATCGGTCTGTGTGGGGTGTTTGAGCTGATCAAGGAGACTCGGTTCTCCCACCCCTCGCTGTGCCTGCGCAGCCTACAGGCCCTGCTGGACATGCTGCAGGGACAACAGCCAGAGGGCTTCCAGACCGAACCTCCTGATGTACTGGGTGAGTACTAGCACACAGATACAGTGGGGAGAACAAGTATTTGATACACTGCCCATTTTGCAGGGTTTCCTACTTACAAAGCATGTAGAGGTCTGTAATTTTTATCATAGGTACACTTCATAGGTACACTTCAAAATCCAGAAAATCACGTTGTATGATTTTTAAGTAATTCATTTGCATTTTATTGCATGACATAAGTATTTGATACATCAGAAAAGCAGAACTTAATATTTGGTACAGAAACCTTTGTTTGCAATTACAGAGATCATACGTTTCCTGTAGGTCTTGACCAGGTTTGCACACACTGCAGCATGGATTTTGGCCCACTCCTCCATACAGACCTTCTCCAGATCCTTCAGGTTTCGGGGCTGTCGCTGGGCAATACGGACTTTCAGCTCCCTCCAAAGATTTTCTATTGGGTTCAGGTCTGGAGACTGGCTAGGCCACTCCAATACCTTGAGATGCTTCTTACGGAGCCACTCCTTAGTTGCCCTGGCTGTGTGTTTCGGGTCGTTGTCATGCTGAAAGACCCAGCCACGACCCATCTTCAATGCTCTTACTGAGGGAAGGAGGTTGTTGGCCAAGATCTCACGATACATGGCCCCATCCATCCTCCCCTCAATACGGTGCAGTCGTCCTGTCCCCTTTGCAGAAAAGCATCCCCAAAAAATGATGTTTCCACCTCCATACTTCACGGTTGGGATGGTGTTCTTGGGGTTGTACTCATCCTTCTTCTTCCTCCAAATACGGCGAGTGGAGTTTAGACCAAAAAGCTATATTTTTTGTCTCATCAGACCACATGACCTTCTCCCATTCCCCCTCTGGATCATTCAGATGGTCATTGGCAAACTTCAGACGGGCCTGGACATGCGCTGGCTTGAGCAGGGGGACCTTGCGTGCGCTGCAGGATTTTAATCCATGACGGCGTAGTGTGTTACTAATGGTTTTCTTTGAGACTGTGGTCCCAGCTCTCTTCAGGTCATTGATCAGGTCCTGCCGTGTAGTTCTGGGCTGATCCCTCACCTTCCTCATGATCATTGATGCCCCACAAGGTGAGATCTTGCATGGATCCCCAGACCGAGGGTGATTGACCGTCATCTTGAACTTCTTCCATTTTCTAATAATTGCGCCAACAGTTGTTGCCTTTTCACCAAGCTGCTTGCCTATTGTCCTGTAGCCCATCCCAGCCTTATGCAGGTCTACAATTTTATCCCTGATGTCCTTACACAGCTCTCTGGTCTTGGCCATTGTGGAGAGGTTGGAGTCTGTTTGATTGAGTGTGTGGACAGGTGTCTTTTATACAGGTAACAAGTTCAAACAGGTGCAGTTAATACAGGTAATGAGTGGAGAACAGGAGGGCTTCTTAAAGAAAAACTAACAGGTCTGTGAGAGCCGAAATTCTTACTGGTTGGTAGGTGATCAAATACTTACGTCATGCAATAAAATGCAAATTAATTACTTAAAAATCATACAATGTGATTTTCTGGATTTTTGTTTTAGATTCCGTCTCTCACAGTTGAAGTGCACCTATGATAAAAATTACAGACCTCTACATACTTTTTTATAAGTAGGAAAACCTGCAAAATCGGCAGTGTATCAAATACTTGTTCTCCCCACTGTACATGGGAAGACACATGCACATGCTAGGGCTGGGCGGTAAACTCTATTTTACTGTATACCGGTGTTGATGCACGGTCCAGTTTGGATTTTTACTTTCTATAACGGTATAATGGCAATCGTCTGTTTTTAACGCCAGTACGAGATTTCTAACAGCTGAGAATGGCTAATGAGCTTCGAGAGCACAGACAACTTTTTCTCCCCGTGAACCTCTTGTTCTCATGTTGTATTTTTGTTTTATTCTCCCTCGCTCCTCTGTGCACCTTCCCACACTTACACACACACACACCAAGCCCCTCCCCCTGCCACTCACAACAGAGATCGCCCCTTTTGACAACAAGCAGTTCCAAATCAAACTTGTGGTTTGGTCCAACAGAATCGGTCATATGGACATCCAAAAACATTTGTACATTATTTTTGTGTAATAGAGGAGAACTTCACCTTTTTAACTATACCTGTTTTATGTATCAACTCCTCAAAATGAGCGCAGATCGAACTCTACTAAAACAGGAGTATCAATGAATGTTGATTCTGGAAAATTGCTGTTTGTCTGTGTGCGGCATTATGGTAGCGCTAGCAGCATTTTAGCCACAGAGTGTTATATGCTAGCTGTTTTGTATATGTTTTTATACATTTGCAATGAGCATAAAAATCATTTATATAAGTACTAGGCAACTCATTCTCATTCTGAGAAATAAGCATCTTCTTATCCAGGTAGCTACTTGATTTCAATATCTAAACAAAGTCAACAGGTTAGCATGCTGTTCAAACAGGTAGAGATACAGGAGACTGTGTTCATAACAGTTCAACTATTCTACCTTGTTAGCTAGCTAATAGACCCAAGTTGGCAAGACTTGAAATATAGACACTAGCTGGCAACTCACTAGCACCTGGGCTTGTGCTTGAGAGAATGTTTGAGATCTATGTTAATTTTCTACAATGCATTCACCCGCTGAAAAAGCTTGGTCATTATTAGTGGATGTGTATTGTGCATGGTTCTGGTTAAATTTGTAACAAAAGTGGCATTTTCATAGAAAGACTTGAACTGCAAAAAGGCAGGTTAAGCTATTTTGATAAAATACTTTTATTGTTAGTGGGTCTATATTTACGAACACACACACATTATGTTTTTCAATCCTCGTGGGGACCTAAATTAATTTGATTCAAAATCTTATTTTCCCTAATCCCTAACCCTAAACATAACCCTTACCATAACCCTCACCTTAACCTGTAACCCAAACCCTAATCTTAAAAAAGCCTTTGTCCTCATTGGGATGTGGGAAATGTCCCGACGAGGGAGAATTTTCCACCTTTTACTACTACATAGACACACACTCGCACGCACTTGTTCAGACACAGGTATGCACACACATATTGCAGACACACAGCCCTTCCTAACCCTCCATCTCCTCACTACAGAGTCTCTGTTCCACTTGCTGTTGGAGACAACGGTGCGCAGCACGGGGATGAATGACCCCACTGGTCAGGCCCTCACCACCCTGTCCTGCGCCTGCCTCTTCAGCCTGGTGGTGTCCTGGGGAGACACAGGCAAGACCCTGCAGGCCGTCTCCGCCATCCTCACCAACAACGGCAGTCACGCCTGCCAGACTATCCAGGTGAGACGATGTGGCGTAACACAACACTAAATAATAATAATAATAATATGCCATTTAGCAGACGCTTTTATCCAAAGCGACTTACAGTCATGCGTGCATAAATTTTTATGTATGGGAGGTCCCGGGGATCGAACCCACTACCTTGGCGTTACAAGCGCCGTGCTCTACCAGCTGAGCTACAGATAACACATCCTGAGTGGCGCAGTGGTCTAAGGCACTGCATCGCAGTGCTAACTGTGCCACTAGAGATCCTGGTTCGAATCCAGGCTCTGTCGCTGCCGGCCGCGACCGGGAGACTCATGGGCGGCGCACAATTGGCCCAGCGTCATCCAGGGTAGGGGAGGGAATGGCCGGCAGGGATGTAGCTCAGTTGATAGAGCATGGCGTTTGCGACGCCAGGGTTGTGGGTTTGATTCCCACGGGGGGCCAATATAAAAAAAATAATGTATTCACTAACTGTAAGTCGCTCTGGATAAGAGCGTCTGCTAAATGACTAAAATGTAAAATGTAAATAAATGGGTCTGCGGGACCCCAAACCTATCCAACCAGAAAATCATTCAAACGTTACACATCGCCAGTTTACTAAATGTTTTTGCTCAAGCAGAATGGCACCGGAGGGGATGGCTGCCGTTTTATGGACTCTTATCCAACCGTGCTATATATATATGTTTTTCTCGCATTGTTTGTCACTTATTTTGTACATATGTTTCTGCTACCGTCTCTTACGACCGAAAAGAGCTTCTGGACATCAGAACAGCGATTACACTCCTTAAACTGGACGAATAACTTTTCTTTAATGAGTCGGACGAGAGGGATTTGCTCGGTCAATAAAGAAGTGGTCAGATGAAGCAGATGCTAAGCTACAGGACTATTTTGCTAGCACAGACTGGAATATGTTCCGGGATTCTTCCAATAGCATTGAGGAGTACACCACATCAGTCACTGGCTTCATCAATAAGTGCATCGATGACGTCGTCCCCACAGTGACTGTATACACATACCCCAACCAGAAGCCATGGATTACAGGCAACAGCCGCACTGAGCTAAAGGGTAGAGCTGCCGCTTTCAAGGAGCGGGACTCTAACCCGGAAGTTATAAGAAATCCCGCTATGCCCTCCGACGAACCATCAAACAGGCAAAGCGTCAATACAGGACTAAGATCGAATCGTACTACACCGGCTCCGACGCTCGTCGGATGTGGCAGGGCTTGCAAACTATTACAGACTACAAAGGGAAGCACAGCCGCGAGCTGCCCATTGACACAAGCTTACCAGATGAGCTAAATTACTTCTATGCTCGCTTCGAGGCAAGCGACACTGAAACATGCATGAGAGCATCAGCTGTTCCGGACGACTGTGTGATCACGCTCTCCATAGCCGATGTGAGTAAGACCTTTAAACAGGTCAACATTCACAAGGCCGCAGGGCCAGACGGATTACCAGGACGTGTACTCAGAGCATGCGCTGACCAACTGGCAAGTGTCTTCACTGACATTTTCAACCTCTCCCTGTCTGAGTCTGTAATACCAACATGTTTCAAGCAGACCACTATAATCCCTGTGCCCAAGAACACTAAGGTAACCTGCCTAAATGACTACCGACCCGTAGCACTCACGTCTGTAGCCATGAAGTGCTTTGAAAGGCTGTTCATGGCTCACATCAACACCATTATCCCAGAAACCCTAGATCCACTCCAATTTGCATACCGCCCCAACAGATCCACAGATGATGCAATCTCTGTTGTGCTCCACACTGCCCTTTCACACCTGGACAAAAGGAACACCTACGTGAGAATGCTATTAATTGACTACAGCTCAGCGTTCAACACCATAGTTCCCTCAAAGCTCATCACTAAGCTAAGGACCCTGGGACTAAACACCTCCCTCTGCAACTGTATCCTGGACTTCCTGACGGGCCGCCCCCAGGTGGTAAGGGTAGGTAACAACACATCCGCCACGCTAATCCTCATCGTGGCGGATGTGTCACACGAGATGGAGTCACAATCCATGCCACGACCTGTGAGCTCTGGAACTCCACCTCCGACAGGCAGAGGCAACACACATGGAGGGTTCGTCAGGTCGTCGGGTCACCCTGACATTTCCATTCCTCTTCTGATACCAGAACTTGACGAACTGCTCACCAGGCACAGCAAGGGCCGTCCAGACCGTTATGCTGTTCTGCTATTCCAAGGATGTGTAACCGAAGAGAGATACAACGAGTGGACACGGAATACCAACTGGGATGGATCCCGAGGCAAATGTGGCTTACCAGTGAACCTCTGAGTGTTCATCATGAATACTGTGTCTCAGAAGTTTCTGTCAATGAGTGATGCAACCCGAAAAAGCATTAAAGACAGAGTTAATGAGTACTTGAGGTCACCGAGAAAGTCTGGACTGCTCTCCCTTATGTAAGAAATTAGGCACTTTACTATGTTTACTATGTAGGCTACAGTAAACATCTCATTGTCCCGTTGGTTGTTATCAGACTGCACAGTAGCCTAATAAACATATGCATTTTAAACGTTTTTTTTTTTTAATGGAATTTTATAATATATTTGTACCACTGTAGATGCTGTGTTTTTATTTTTAGAATACAGTTCTCGGTTTACAGTAGTGATGTTTTCAAACACTTGTTTTTCACAAGTGTAGCAGGTTGTGAACTCTGCAAACAACGTTTCCACTCTGAGAATGAGAATGGTAAATGACTGTAATTAATAAATTAATTCATACATTAGAATACAAAAGAAGCCATCTACCCATGATGGGCTATTAGCAGGACAATAGACTCTTGCCATGAAGGAGATCAAGGAGGGTAGGAGGAGCGTTGTATTTTATAGTAGCCTAATAAACATTTGCATTTTGAAAAAGTTTGAAAAAATCAAGTTCAATAATATATTTATACCAATGTACATGCTCTGTTTTTCATTGATGGCGAAGCCATAAAGCCTCTACTACTATGCACAGATATAAAAAAAATAAAGGTTTAACATATTTTGAATTCATTCCTGAATTCAATTGCTTTAGCCGACATGTTGCAGTTTATTTATTGTTTAATTATTCAAGGATCCCTTTTCTTGGAATAGAAACACACTTCTCTGTGCTTCTACAGAGAAGTGTGTTTCTACATCGGCATTGCTTCTACATCTGCATTGCTTGCTGTTTGGGGTTTTAGGCTGGGTTTCTGTATAGCACTTTGTGACATCTGCTGATGTAAAAAGGACTTTATAAATAACGTGATTGATTGATTGATTACTGGAGTTCTTTTAAGAATACAAAAGAAGCCATTCACCCTTGATGGGCTATAAGCAGGACAATAGACTCTTGCCGAGTTTAGGGACTTTAAATGTATTAATGGATGTTTACGAGGCATGTCACTTCTCCCATCTCTTTGCGTAGCCCACCAATTGCTCTGTTTTCTAACCACATCTGGATGGATCCATAACGAATTACTATGGGAAGAAATATCACTGAATGACAGAAATATTGGAATAAAGTAGGCTAATGAAGGCAACAAATGGTTGCTTACTGAAACACCCAATGTCGTCCAATTTTTATAATAGGATTTGAAACAATATCCTACCCAACTATTTCAGCACCGTTTCGCGCTGCTTTGAGACAAGCATGGAGACTGGCCTTGATAACTCAATCATATTTTTATTTTCACTGAATTTCTGTTTGGGTATTGGTTAGCCTACAATTAGGGTGTGGAAATGTTAGGATTATTTTGCTCTTCACTTGCAGTCGCTTAGTAGCCTAGGCCTACTCCCGACCGGTCACGTTGTACAACACCATATTTTCCTAACGGAAACCCTGAGGCCTACATAGGCTACTGTAAAATGCATTTTCGTTTTTCTTGGAATAGAAACACCATAATATTAATCAATTTAACTAAGCTAAATTTCTACAAAAAAAGGTTTTAAAGTCTCTAGTACAGCCAATATTAAAAACAGTGAAATGCATTAGTGAATTCAATCGCTTTACCCTTTGTTATTTTGTTGTATAACTAAAATGCTTGACTGTATTTAAAGACATGGATGACTTGTATGTTGTGTGATGACATGCACAAATGAATGAATGTTTGATATACTGTATATTGAAGTAGGCCTTTATGCCAATAAGTTACGCTAAAACATCTACAGTAAACAGGACTCTTAACCCTATAGCCCCTTGTCATTTCAATAACTTAGCTTCTCAAAGATGCCCCCTGGTGGTCAAACTAGCATTAATGGCAACAATGGCTGACAGTAAAATAATATCACGTCATGCCATACAATTATGACGCAACTTTTAAAGGAAGAACCATGTATTGCATGTGTCACGTAAAGAGAGCAAGAGTTGTGGGAATATAGGGAATGTTTTTCCTAAACAAATTAGGGGCTTTGGTGACAGAACTTTTCAGTCAGAAATGGCTGTAATTATGTTGCAGCTTCAGCAACACGGACAGCGCGATAAACACTTTGATGTTCTGTGGTGGTTGCTGCAGCAGGGAGGAGAGCGCGACAACGCATGCTAGTCACAGTCATTCGCTGTCTTTTTTATTTTAACACAGCGCACAAAGTCTGAGCCCGGCACAATCAAATCAATTGCTGTTCCCTCTAGTCATTTGTGTGTCTTAATTATTTTTTCAAACCGTGTGCTTAAAGCATCAGACAAGCTCAGTGAAATAGTTGATTTGATTAAAACACATAGGATGTGTCAATATATGGAAAAATACACGTTTAACAATGCCGACCATTGGTCGATTGGTCGAAAGAACAGAATACTCTTGGTCGACCAATATTTTATTTTGTTGGGGACAGCCCTAAAATGGTTGCACTCTGGAGCCCTGATATCAAACCAGACCCTTCTACCAAACACTCCACAGTCAAAGCAGACAAAACAGTCCTTTCATTGTCTCCCATTTCTATTCTAGTTAATTTCCATTAATTCTTCTTTATTCTTAATCTTCCCTCCCCTTCCTCTTTGTCCCAGGTGCCGACCATTCTGAACGCGTTACAGAGGAGCGTGCAGGCCGTGCTGGTGGGCAAGATCCAGATCCAGGACTGGTTCGGCAACGGCATCAAGCGGGCGGCGCTGATGAACAAGTGGGTACTGAAGGAGGTGACCGTCGATGAGGATGAGCACTGCCTGCTGCAGACCGACGGCTCTTTCCTCTACCTGCTCTGCAAGGATGGCCTCTACAAAGTGGGCTCTGGCTACAGTGGCACCGTCAGGGTAGGTAGGGTGGGGTGATGTGGGTGTCTACATGAGCGAGATAATGTTTTTTCAAGTGTTATTTATTACACTGATATAGCAGTCAATACAAACTGAAATCCAGAAGCGAACAATATACACTACATGGCCAAAAGTATGTGGACACCAGCTCGTCAAGCATATCATTCCAAATTCATGGGCATTAATATAGAGTTGGTCTCCCCTTTGCTGTTATAACAACCTCCACTCTTCTCCAAATTATCTGAGGCAAATGATCCAGTTACTGCCCAAGTTGCTCAATAAGAGGAGACTCCATTAGGGATGTAACGATTCACTGATGCGCATTGGTCCCCGGTTCAAATGTTTAATAAGATAAGATAAGATATGAATGCGTCGGTTCGCGGGACCCCAAGCCAATCCAAATGTAGGCATATACCGGTACCGCTCGTCTTTTGGTGTTTGAGTCGTGTGGGGGCCTGCACGACTCCAACACCAGTAAGTTTGCTGATGACACAACGGTGGTAGGACAGATCACTGACGACGATGAGACAGCCTATAGGGAGGAGGTCAGAGACCTGGCAGTGTGGTTTCAGAACAACAACCTCTCCCTCAATGTCCGCAAGACAAAGGAGCTGATCGTGGACTGCAGGAAACGGAGTGCCGAGCACACTCCCATTCACATCGACAGGGCTGTAGTGGAGCTGGTCGAGAGCTTCAATATCCTCTGTGTCCACATCACTAAGGATATATCATGGTCCACACGCACCAAGACAGTCGTGAAGGGTGCATGGCAACGCCTCCTCCCCCTCAGGAGGCTGAAAATATTTGGCATGTGCCCTCACATCCTCAAAGTTTGACAGCTGCACCATTGAGAGTATCTTGACTGGCTGCATCTTCGCTTGGTATGGCAACTGCTTGGTACCCAACCACAAGGCACTACAGAGGGTAGTGCGTACAGCCCAGTACATCACTGGGGCCGAGCTCCCTGCCATCCAGGACCTTTATACCAGGCGGTGTCAGATGAAGGCCCTAAAATTTGTTCAAGACTTCAGCCACCCAAGTCAGAGACTGTTTTCTCTGCTACCGCACGGAAAGCGGTACCGATGAACCAAGTCTGGAACCAACAGGACCCTGAACAGCTTCTACCCCCAAGCCATAATAATGCTAAATAGTTAGTCTGGGCAGAGATTTGATTAACTATTTAACTACAGTGAATTCGGAAATTATTCAGACCTCTTGACTTTTTCCATATTTTGTTACGTTACAGCCTTACTCTAAAATTGATTAAATAGTTTTTTCCCCTCATCAATCTACACACAATACCCCATAATGACAAAGCAAAAACATGTTTTTAGAGATTTTAGCAAATTTATAAAATAAAAAACATATTACATTTACGGAAGTATTCAGACCCTTTACTCAGTACTTTGTTGAAGCACCTTTGGCAGCAATTACAGCCTCGACTCTTCTTGGGTATGACACTACAAGATTGGCACACCTGCATTTGGGGAGTTTCTCCCATTCGTCTCTGCAGATCCTCTCAAGCTCTGTCAGGTTGGATGGGGAGGGTCGCTGCACAGCTATTTTCAGGTCTCTCCAGAGATGTTCGATCAGGTTCAAGTCCGGGCTCTGGCTGGGCCACTCAAGGACATTCAGAGACTTGTCTCGAAGCCACTCCTGCGTTGTCTTGTGTGCTTAGGTCGTTGTCCTGTTGGAAGATGCACCTTCGCCCCAGTCTGAGGTCCTGAGCGCTCTGGAGTAGGTTTTCATCAAGGATCTCTCTGTACTTTGCTCTGTTCATCTTTCCCTCGATCCTGACTAGTCTCCCAGTCCCTGCTGCTGAAAAACATCCCCACAGTATGATTCTGCCACCACCATGGGGCTTACATTAGATTTTATTTTGATTGTTCAGATACACCATCATCAATAGTTTTGGTAGTTTTGCTTGCAACGATCAGTTTACTTATCATTTTTACTTATGCAGAGTAAAGTTGTTAATTTCATAATGAGGACAGCAATCAGTTTTGCTACACACACTGCATGGTCAAAGCGGGAGAAGAAGAGAAGCTCACTCAGTCCATCAAAACCATTCGATTATGAGACGGGGGGTGAAATCCAAACTTGTGATATATATTAATTGGCTATGTCATAGCAAATCTTTTAAGATAAATATTGATACATTACTAGCTGTAACACTTTTAATCTCCCCCCTAACTGATAGTGGGGTGGTAAATGCCCAGTTACCTTTATGGCTTAGCTCAGGTGCTTCCATACACCATATACATAATTGGTCCTCTGTAGCTCAGCTGGTAGAGCACGGCGCTTGTAACGCCAAGGTAGTGGGTTCGATCCCCGGGACCACCCATACACAAAAATGTATGCACGCATGACTGTAAGTCGCTTTGGATAAAAGCGTCTGCTAAATGGCATATTATTATTATTATTATTATAATTTACACACACACACACACACATTTTGTTCTTCTATCCTCGTGGGGACCTTAAATGAATTTCCATTCAAAATCCTATTTTCCCTAACCTTATCACGTAATCCCTAACCACTAATCCCTAAGCTTAAAATTGTTTTTGTCCTCATGGGGAGGTGGGAAATGTCCTCACGAGGGAGATTTTTCATTGTTTTACTATCCTTGTGGGGACTTTGGGGATTTTAGGTCCCCACAAGGATGGAAGAACCAACACACACACAAATTGCATCGATTCATTCTTCTAATCAAACTGAATCGCACCGAATCCTTTCAGACTAAAACGTATTGTTCTTGTATTGTATCGGAACCCATGGCTCTAGATACAGTGCGTTCGGAAAGTATTCAGATCTTTTTCCACATTTTGTTACGTTACAGCCTTATTCTAAAATTGATTAAATATATATTTTTCCTTATCAATCTACACACAGTACCCCATAATGACAAAGCAAAAAACACATTTTTGCAAATTTATTTAAAATAAAAATGGATACCTTATTTACCTAACTATTCAGACCCTTTGCTATGAGACTCGAAATTGAGCTCAGGTGCATCCTGTTTACATTGATAATTCTTGATGTTTCTACAATTTGATTGGAGTCCACCTGGGTAAATTCAATTGATTGGACATGATTTGGAAAGGCAAACACCTGTCTATATAAGGTCACACAGTTGACAGTGCATGTCAGAGCAAAAACCAAGCCATGAGATCGAAGGAATTTTCTGTAGAGCTCCGAGACAGGATTGTGTCGAGGCACAGATCTGGAGAAGGGTACCAAAAAATGTCTGCAGCATTGAAGGTCCCCAAGAAAACCGTGGCCTCCATCATTCTTAAATGGAAGAAGTTTAGACCCACCAAGCCAAACTGAGCAATCGGGAGAGAAGGGCCTTGGTCAGGGAGGTGAGCAAGAATCCGATGGTCCCTCTGACAGAGCTCCAGAGTTCCTCTGTGGAGATGGGAGAACGTTCCAGAAGAACAATCATCTCTGCAGCACTCCACCAATCAGGCCTTTATGGTAGAGTGGCCAGACGGAAGCCACTCCTCAGTAAAAGGCACATGACAGCCTGCTTGGAGTTTGCCAAAAGGCACCTAAAGGACTCTGAGGTCTGGTCTGATGAAACCAAGATTTAAATATTTCGCCTGAATGCCAAGCGTCACGTCTGGAGGAAACCTGGCACCATCCCTACGGTGAAGCATGGTGGTGGCAGCGTCATGCTGTGGGGATGTTTTTCAGCGGCAGGGACTAGGAGACTAGTCAGGATCGAGGGAAAGATGAACGGAGCAAAGTACAGAGAGATCCTTGATGAAAACCTGCTCAGGACCTCAGACTGGGGCGAAGGTTCACCTTCCAATAGGACAACGACCCTAAGCACCAGCCAAGACAACGCAGGAGTGGCTTCGGGACAAGTCTCTGAATGTCCTTGAGTGGCCCAGCCAGAGCCCGGACTTGAACCCGATCGAACATCTCTGAAGAGACCATAAAATAGCTGTGCAGCGACGCTCCCCATCCAACCTGACAGAGCTTGAGAGGATCTGCAGAGAATAACTGGATAAACTCCCCAAATATAGGTGTGCCAAGCTTGTAGCGTCATACTCAAGAAGACTCAAGGCTGTAATCCCTGTCGAAAGTGCTTGAATAAAGTACTGAGTAAAGCGTCTGAATACTTATGTAAATGTCATATTTACGTTTTCTTTAAATACATTTGCTAAAAATTGTAATAACGTGTTTTTTGTTTGTCATTATGGTGTATTGTGTGTAGATTGATGAGGGGGAAAAAACGATATAATCAATTTTAGAATAAGGATGTAACGTAACAAAATGTGGAAAAAGTCAAGGGGTCTGAGTACTTTCCGTATGTGCTGTACGTATCGAATCATCTTGAAAAGGAACGTTTGGCTGTGCGTTTGGGATTGCTCTCTAACATTGAATCAGTGTGTGTGTGTGTGTATTCCAGGGCCATGTGTATAATTCCACATCATGCATCAGGAATCGGATGGAGAAGAGATCATGGTTGGGCTTCGCTCAGGTAATTTAACCTCAGATTATTTTTTCATAATGTGCAATCAAAATTAAGATTACCACGAAAATTAAGACTATAGGGAACCTGGAATTCTATTTAATCACTAGTTATGGTTGTCTTATAGTCTTACCATGCTGTTTGCCCAATAAACATGGTTGCTGATCTGTAATGATTAAATGCTTAAGTTGATAACGATTCTGCTCCTACTGAAGCCCTTTAGGGGGTTAGGAAGGAATAGACTTTTACCCCAAAATAAAATGTATTGATGAAGCACTGTTTGTTTCTATGGAGTGGCTGCGGATCCGACTTTTGGATCTTTTTCCCCAACAGCTAAAAGTCTGAAGTTTGTGATCGTGCGGGATTCTCTACTTTACACACCCTCTCTCTACTCGTTTGGCTGCTCAGAGAAAAGGCTACTCTGGTGAATGGCACTCGTTTAGTGAAGTTAGATCAGAGCTGAATTCATGTCTGCAAGATCACATAATGATAGTATTCTACACTTCCGGTCAAAAGTTTCAGAATACCTACTCATTCAAGGGTTTTTCTTTATTTTTACTATTTTCTACATTGTAGAATGATAGTGAAGACATCAAAACTATGAAATAACACATATGGAATCATGTAGTAACCAAAAAAGTGTTAAACAAATCCAAATATATTTTATATTTGAGAGTCTTCAAATAGCCACCCTTTGCCTTGATGACAGCTTTGCACACTCTTGGCATTCTCTCAACCAGCTTCATGAGGTAGTCACCTGGAATGCATTTCAATTAACAGGTGTGCCTTCTTAAAAGTTAATTTGTGGAATTTCTTTCCTTCTTAATGCGTTTGAGCCAATCAGTTGTGTTGTGACAAGGTAGGGGGGGTATACAGAAGATAGCCCTATTTGGTAAAAGACCAAGTCCATATTATGGCAATGTGTTATTTCATAGTTTTGATGTCTTCACCTATTATTCTACAATGTAGAAAATAGTAAAAATAAAGAAAAACCCTTAAATGAGAAGGTGTTCTAAAACTTTTGACTGGTAGTGTATCTACATATGTAGGATGTTAATTTGACCAGTATTGTCGCAGCAAAATAATCCTTCAGCAACAGGACATTACGTTGCTTGATCGGTGGTTAGGCTATTAGCTGGCCAGAATTAGGTTACATGAGAATGAAAAGTGCAATACTGTTAATATAACCATGTGTTAGTGTGGGTTTTCAGTGAATGTATGTAAATCACGACACTCATCTGCATTTCCTGCGGACATCCTCCAGGACATTTCTCAGCAACAACATAGTTACCAAATTAAGATCCTACATCTGTAACATAACTTAATATAATAGCATAGTGTAGCTATTATGAGGATGATTAGGATGATTGTGCGAATGGTCACATTTTTGTCTCAGGTGGCCATAACTCAACAGGGCACACCACTAGGCAAAATATTTGCTTTTATTTAAACTAAACACAAGTATGCTACAGTTTGTTAACAACATCTTCTCTAAAATTCACTCACTGTACTTAATTCAAAACAACCCTGGGATACACCCAAATCATTTGGGTTTCAGGATCCTTTCACAGCATTATAAGGCTGCGTTGAGACAATGACTTATCGATGACCCAAGCCCAGGTCATTTAATCCCTACCATTGTGTCTCTGAGTTGTCGTAATGCTTCAGCAAATGTACGTTATCCCAGGAGCGTTGGAAGATGTAATTAACCTAAGTTATGTCCCTCTTACTGCCCTGAATGCCTCTGCTGATCCTACAGCTATTGTATGCAGTAATCATATGCCTATGAACCAGAGTTATACTGTTAGCACTGAGGTGGTGTGCTCAAGCAGGAAGTCCACTGTGTGCAGCTCACCCTGCACTAACATAAATAACTTGAGCATGTCTACTAAGCTTCCCAGTAAAGCAAGAAAAACATTCAAGCATCCCAGAAAAGTGTTACAAATAGCCCACGTTTTCATATGTAGCTTCATAAATCAATAATTTGGTAGTAACAGACGACATTCATATTCGTACAATCTCTGAAACTCACTTTGATAATACCTTTGATGATACAGTGGTAGCAATACATGATTATAAGATTTTTGTCATTTAGTAGACGCTCTTATCCAGAGCGACTTACAGTTAGTGAGTTCATACATTTTCATACTGGCCCCCCGTGGGAAACGAACCCACAACCCTGGCGTTGCAAGCACCATGCTCTACCAACTGAGCTACACGGGGCCCGTATACGATCTACAGAATAGACAGAAATGCCAAAGGTGGAGGTGTGGCTGTTTATATTCAGAACCACATTCCTGTAAAGCTTAGAGAGGATCTCATGTTAAATCATCTGCCTCACCTAAAGCCCATTCTGGTGGGAAGCTGCAATAGACCACCAAGTGCTAACAGTCAGTAGCTGGATAACGTGTGAAATGCTTGATAATGTATGTGATATCAATAGAGAGGTATATTTTCTGGGTGATTTAAATATTGACTGGCTTTCATCAGGCTGCCCACTCAAGAGAAATCTTCAAACTTTAACTAGTGCCTGCAACCTGCTTCAGGTTATCATTCAACCTACCAGGGTAGTTACAAACAGCATAGGAATGAAATCATCAACATGTATTGATCACATCTTAACATCCTGTGGCGTACAGCATTAGCATCAAATAGCCCCCGCGATATGCAACTTTTCAGGGAAGTTAGGAACCAATATACACAAGCAGTCAGGAAAGCAAAGGCTAACTTTTTCAAACAGAAATTTGCATCCTGTAGCACTAACTCCAAAAAGTTTTGGGACACTGTAAAGTCCATGGAGAATAAGAGCACTTCCTCCCAGCTGCCCACTGCACTGAGGCTAGGAAACACTATCACCACCGATAAATCTACAATAATCGAGAATTTCAACAAGCATTTTGCTACAGCTGGCCATGCTTTCCATCTGGCTACCACTAACCCGGCCACCAACTCTGCACCCTCTGCTGCAACTTGCCCATGCCCCCCCCGCTTCTCCTTCACACAAATTCAGACAGCTGATGTTTTGAAAGCGCTGCAAAATCTGGACCCCTACAAATCAGCTGGGCTAGACAATCTGGACCCTTTCTTTCTAAAACTAGCCGCCGAAATTGTCGCAACCCCTATTACTAGTCTGTTCAACCTCTCTTTCATAACGTCTGAGATCCCCAGAGATTGGAAAGCTGCCGCGGTCATCCCCCTCTTCAAAGGGGGTGACACTCTAGATCCAAACTGCTACAGACATATATCCATCCTGCCCTGCCTTTCGAAAGTATTTGAAAGCCAAGTTAACAAACAGATCACCGACCATTTCGAATCCCACCGTACCTTCTCCGCTATGCAATCCGGTTTCCGAGCTGGTCACGGGTGCACTTCAGCCACGCTCAAGGTCCTAAACGATATTATAACCGCGATTGATAATAGACAGTACTGTGCAGCCGTCTTCATCGACCTGGCCAAGGCTTTCGACTCTGTCAACCACCGCATTCTTATTGGCAGACTAAATAGCCTTGGTTTCTCAAATGACTGCCTCGCCTGGTTCACCAACTACTTCTCAGATAGAGTTCAGTGTGTCAAATCGGAGGGCCTGTTGTCTGGACCTATGGCAGTCTCTATGGGGGTGCCACAGGGTTCAATTCTTGGGCCGACACTTTTCTCCGTGTATATCAATGATGTCGCTCTTGCTGCTGGTGACTCTCAGATCCACCTCTACGCAGACGACACCATTTTGTATACATCTGGCCCTTCATTGGACACTGTGTTAACAAACCTCCAAACGAGCTTCAATGCCATACAACAATCCTTCAGTAGCCTCCAACTGCTCTTAAACACTAGTAAAACTAAATGCATGCTCTTCAATCGAACGCTGCTGGCACCCGCCCACCCGACTAGAATCACCACTCTCGACGGGTCTGACCTAGAGTATGTGGACAACTACAAATACCTAGGTGTCTGGTTAGACTGTAAACTCAACTTCCAGACTCACATAAAGAATCTCCAATCCAAAGTTAAATCTAGAATCGGCTTCCTATTTCGCAACAAAGCCTCCTTCACTCATGCTGCCAAACATGCCCTCGTAAAACTGACTATCCTACCGATCCTTGACTTCGGCGATGTCATTTATAAAATAGCCTCCAACAGTCTACTCAGCAAATTGGATGTAGTCTATCACAGTGCCATCCGTTTTGTCTCCAAAGCCCCATACACTACCCACCACTGTGACCTGTACGCTCTTGTTGGCTGGTCCTCACTACATGTTTGTCGTCAAACCCACTGGCTCCAGGCCATCTATAAATCACTGCTAGGCAAATCCCCGCCTTATCTTAGCTCATTGGTCACCATAGCAGCACCCACCCGTAGTCTGCGCTCCAGCAGGTATATCTCACTGGTCATTCCCAAAGCCAACACCTCCTTTGGCCGCCATTCCTTCCAGTTCTCTGCTGCCAATGACTGGAACGAATTGCAAAAATCTCTGAAACTGGAGACTCTTATCTCCCTCAATAACTTTAAGCATCAGTTGTCAGAGCACCTTACCGATCACTGCACCTGTACACAGCCCATCTGAAATTAGCCCACCCAACTACCCCATCCCTATATTGTTATTTATTTTGCTCTTTTGCACCCCAGTATCTCTATTTACACATAATCTCTTGCACATCTAGCATTCCAGTGTTAATACTATTGTAATTATTCTGCACTATAGCCTATTTATTGCCTTACCTCCATAACTTGCTACATTTGCACACACTGTATATATATTTTCTGTTGTATTTTTGACTTTATGTTTTTTACCCCATATGTAACTCTGTGTTGTTTTTATTGCACTGCTTTGCTTTATCTTGGCCAGGTCGCAGTTGTAAATGAGAACCTGTTCTCAACTGGCTTACCTGGTTAAATAAAGGTGAAATAAAAAAAGCCAAAAAAAGCCATATCTAGGAAAACCAAAGTTCCAAAGGCTGGGCCTAATATAGTGTATAAGAGGTCATACAATACGTTTTGTAGCGATTCCTGTAAGTCGCTCTGGATAAGAGCGTCCGCTAAATGACAAAATAAATAAATAATAATAATTAAAAAAAAAAAAAAAAAATGATATAAAGAATATTTGTTAGTCCGTGGTGTGTAATGAGGAGCAACCAGATGCTGCGCTTGACACATTTATGAAATAGCTTATCCCTGTTACTAATAAACATGCACCCATTAAGAAAATGACTGTAAAAACTGTTAAATCCCTGTGGATTGATGAGGAATTGAAAAATGGTATGGTTGAGAGGGATGAGGCAAAATAAATGGCAAATAGGTCTGGCTGTACAACCGATTAGCAAACATACTGCAAATTGAGAAATCGTGACTGAACTGAATAAAAAGAAGAATGAACTACACTATGAAACAAAGATAAATGACATAAAGAATGATAGTAAAAAGCTTGGGAGCACCTTAAATGAAATTTTGTGCAAAAAGGCAAACTCTGCTCCATCATTCTTTGATTCAGATGGCTTATTCATCACAAAACCCACTGATATTGCTAACTATTTTAATGATTTTTTAATTGGCAAGATTAGCAAACTTAGGCATGACATGCCAGCAACAAACGCTGACACTACCCATACAAGTATATCTGACCAAATTATGAAAGACAAGCATTGTAATTTTGAATTCCGTAAAGTAAGTGTGGAAGAGGTGAACAATTATTGTCGTCTATCAACAATGACAAGCCATCAGGGTCTGACAACTTGGATGGAAAATTACTGAGGATACTTGCATATGATATTGCCACTCCTATTTGCTATATCTTCAATTTAAGCCTACTAGAAAGTGGGTGCCCTCAGGCCTGGAGGGAAGCAAAAGTAATTCCCCTACCTAAGGATAGTAAAGCCCCCTTTACTTGCTCAAATAGCCGACCAATCAGCCTGTTACCAACTCTTAGTAAACTTTTGGAAAACATTGTGTTTGACCAGATACAATGCTATTTTACAGTAAACAAATTGACAACAGACTTTCAGCACGCTTATAGGAAAGGACATTCAACAAGCACAGCACTTACACAAATTACTGATGATTGGCTGATTAGAAATTGATTATAAAAATATTGTGGGGGCTGTTTTGTTAGACTTCAGTGAGGCTTTTGACATAGTCTGTTGCTGGAAAATCTTATGTGTTATGGCTTTATACCCCCTGCTATATTGTGGATAAAGAGTTACCTGTCTAACAGTAGACAGAGGGTGTTCTTTAATGGAAGCCTCTCCAACAAAATCCAGGTAGAATCTATGTATGCGGATGACTCAACACTATACACTTCAGCTACCACAACGATTGAAATGACTGCAAAACCTAACAAAGAGCTGCAGTTAGTTTCAGAATGGGTGGCAAGGAATAAGTTAGTCCTAAATATTTCTAAAGCTAAAAGCAATGTATTTGGGACAAATCATTCATTAAACCCTAAACCTCAACTAAATATTGTAATGATTAATGTGGTAATTGACAAGTTGTGGAGACTAAACTGCTTGGAGTAACCCTGAATTGTAAACTCATGGTCAAAACATATTGATACAACAGTAGCTAGGATGGGGAGAAGTCTGTCCATAATAAAGCGCAGCTCTGCATTCTTAACAGCACTATCAACAAGGCAAGTCCTACAGGCCCTAGTTTTGTCGCACCTGGACTACTGTTCAGTCATGTGGTCAGGTGCCACAAAGAGGGACTTAGGAAAATTGCAATTGGCTCAGAACAGGGCAGCACGGCTGGACCTTGGATGTACACAGAGAGCTAACATTAATAATATGCATGTCAATCTCTCCTGGCTCAAAGTGGAGGAGAGATTGACCTCATCACTACTTGTATTGTGAGTAGTATTGACATGTTGAATGCACTGAGCTGTCTGTTTGAACTACACCTATTCATACTCCACAATACATGCCACCAGAGGTGTCTTCACAGTCCCCAAGTCCAGAACAGACTGTGGGAGGCGCTCAGTACTACATAGAGCCATGACTACATGGAACTCCATTCCACATCAGGTAACTTATGCAAGCAGTCAAATTTGATTGGAGAAAAAAATGAAAAAAATACACCTTATGGAACATCGGGGACTGTGAGGCAACACAAACATAGGCACAGACACATGCATACAAACACACGATAACATACGCACTATAAACACACGTACACATGGATTTTGTTTTGTAGATATGTGGTAGTAGAGTAGGGGCCTGAGGGCACAGACTTAATATGTTGTGAAATCTGTTGTAAATGTATTGTATTATTTAAAAAAAGGTATAACTGCCTTAAATTTACTGGACCCCAGGAAGAGTAGCTGCTTCCTTGGCAGCAGCTAATGGGGATCCATAGTAAAGACAAATACAAACTCTGTATGCTCCTTCCAAACAACACTGTATAACTCAAGAAGATCTAAATGCATATCCCCATGAAACTGGTTGAGATCAAATGGTTGGCATGCAGATGGTGCATGAATGTTTCACAGGTAAAACTTGAAGGATTATCATTCACGATTGACGTTGAGAAATGTGAATTGAGGGTGACCACAAAAGTTTGTGCTTGAAGTAGGGCTGCACAATTAATCTAATTTTAATAGAAATTGCAATATTGACATGTGCAATATCCATATCACAAGAGGCTGCATTTTTTTTTTTTTTACGCAATTAATGTAACATTCAAATGTAACACCACCAACCATAGAATCGGAATACACATTTTATTTCTAAGATAAAAAAAAAAATCCCAATTAAATTGTTTGCCCATATCGTACAGCGTAAAGTAGAGGTAAAGAAACTCACGCGCATTACATTATTCGGATCTTCAGCGCTGGGGAAAAAGGATCCAGGGGGGCGGGACAGGGCGGTTACCTATGGATCTGCAGCCTTGGCCTTGTTTGTATTCCTTTCCAATGTGCTACACTTTCAAACTCTCTAAGGTCTGGGTTGCTTTTGCGAGTTGTGACAAATGCAGTCCTAAAAGTGTTGTTAAAATAAATACAAATATTGATAAATTGATACGTGTGCGTGTGCTTGTGCGCACAGGGCTGCCTGTTGTACCGGGATATGAGTAACGACCACAGTACGTCGGCCATCAAGATCAACCCAGAGACTCTGGAGCACGAGGGCACCATCACCATGCCAGGTACATGATAACACAAAGTAGCACCTCCTTCTCCCCCATAGTGTGTGTTATAATAAACAATGCATGGATTTTTTCATGTACCCGTTTGTAAGCTAGTGTGTGAGTTTTTATTTTTGTAATCATCCGTTTACTTACTGTTGTCTTGAACCAATCAACCTGGCCTGTTTGAAAATGTATATTATATTTTTTAGATGAACTTGGACACATTAAATAATAATAATTAATGCTCATAAAAACCGTTCGCCCGGTGATCATTGACAACAGACCAAACCCTTTAGCCAGTCATGTCATTAATATACGCTTGCAACTACAATGTTTTCAATATTCATAATATTTCGATGTAATCATAACTAATGGATTCCGCCTCCAGAAATTCATCAATGAATCCTGATTAAACTAGGAAAGGATTGAAACAGGACCAATTGGACAAATGACCACAGGACAAGGATGGCTACATAACTTTATTGATTCAATGTGCAGACAACACTTACACACTTCCTCAGGATATTGAGAAAAACTAGATCTCTGTCTAGCTAGCCCTGTTTTTTGTTTTACAGTATGCTATGTTAACATTCATTTCAAAAATATAAATGAAATGTACAATATCAAGGACGGGACACTTGCATTTAATAGAAAATAATAAGGTTATATTAACTTAAACAGAGGTCAATGCACAATGTTTCGGCTGAATTCCTTTGTCAAGAGCATGACAAATTAATCTCCCTATTTGGATGTTATAAATGCACTCATCTTTTGAACTCTGTCCTCTTCATAGGTCTACAGGCAGACGGCCAGAGCATAGTCTTCACCGACGGAGAGTACATCAACCAAATCGCTGCCTGCAAAGACGTGAGTCTCATTCACACATACATACACACTCACACTCACATTAATCTGCTGCAAGGGCGCTAAAGTATTCTTTCATTTGTATTTTTCTTGAGAGAGAGGAGTGGATGGGGACAAACAGACCCCACTCCTCAAATGGTTACAAACCCAAACTGAAGTCCTGTCTGCGCCTAATTTGGGTAGCCTAGCTCTTTTGCTGGGCATGCAAGACCAAGTGCTCCATATGTGTGGTCTACAATTAAATAGCATGTAGGCTATAGTATGCATGGGCGCAGTGGTCTAAGGCACTGCATCTCAGTGCTTGAGGCGTCACTACAGACCCCCTGTTTCGATTCCAGGCTGTATCACAACCGGCCGTGATTGGGAGTCCCATAGGGCGGCGCACAATTGGCCCAGCGTCGTCCGGGTTTGGCCGGTGTAGGCCGTCATTGTAAATAAGAATTTGTACTTAACTGACTTGCCTAGTTAAATAATGGTAAAATAAATAAAAATAAAAAGCACAAGGCAGTTGTCTTTCCATGGAAATTAACTTCCTAAATATGATAGTCTATAGTTTAGGCTGCTACATTGACTGGAAATAAATATTGATAACACATTTATCTGTCTCTGCCTGCAAATCGTCCTGCTCCTCCTTAAGCCTGCAAAACGTAGCTCAAGTCAAGTGCAAGTGTCCGCTTTCCTATTCTATTTCGCCCCAACTCTGGCTCTCTTTCAAACTATGTCCAGTCTATTGGCTGATATGGCCCAATAATAATCTACTGATAGCCTAATATAGCATTACGGGCCACGTGAGATTCTCTGGCATTTAAACCTATTTCTTAAGCTATTTATGCAAATGTGTATCTTGCCTAGAGCAGCAACATAGCTGGGACAGGGGCTGCAAAGCGAGCTATGTCATATGCACTTAAAATAACATTGTGGGACTGCGGTCGGTGCAGGACCAGTTCCTGGGGGAGCGGGTGGAAGTCGGACAAGAAGCCAGTGGGAGTGGGCAGGAGCGGGATGAAGAAATCAGTCTTGTGTAGACCTCTACTATACTGGCCAGTAGTGCTGCTTGAGTGTCTGGCTAATCTTATTATATAGGAACACTGTTCACTTCCCTGAAGGCAGCCACCACTCTTCTGTCGGGTTAGCTAGCGCCTTCAGAAGGAGCCGCGACGACGCGTGCATTAGTTTGTCATTGGCTGGATCACCTCAAGGTGTGGCCGAGTCGCTAGGTTACCAATCAATCATCAATCACATGATGACTTTGTGCCATCCTGGCTCATGCGCTGCTGATTTCCAAACCTTCCATAACAAAGCCATCACCTGCAGAGAGATTAACCTAGAGATGAGTTCCCTAAGCAAGCTTGTCCTGGGGCTCTGTTCACAAACACAAACAGACTCCACAAAGCCCCAGGACAGCAACAGCAAGACAATTAGACCCAACCAAATCATGAGAAAACAAAAAGATAATTACTTGAAACATTGGAGAGAATTTACAAAAAAACTGAGCAAACTGGAATGCTATTTGGCCCTAAACAGAGAGTACACGGTGGCAAGAATACCTGACCACTGTGACAGACTCAGTGAGCATAGCCTTGCTATTGAGAGAGGCAGACCTGGCTCTCAAGAGAAAACAAGCTACGTGTGGATAAACTCCCATATCTATTGGGTGAAATACCATAGTGTGCCATCACAGCAGCAAGATTTGTGACCTGTTGCCACAAGAAAATGGCAACCAGTGAAGAACAAACACCATTGTAAATACAACCCATGTTTATGTTGATTTATTTTCCCTTTTGTACTTTAACTTATTTGCACATCGTTATAACACTGTACATAGCCATAATATGACATTTGAAATGTCTCTTCCTTTGAAACTTTTGTGAGTGTAATGTTTACTGTTATTTTTTGATTGGTTATTTCACTTTTGTTTTATCTATTTCACTTGCTTTGGCAATGTAAACATATGTTTCAGCTAATGGGGAATCATAATATATTCAAATACGTTGTACAACTGGCAACAACAATCTGAATTGCGAGTACAATGTACATTGTGAACATATTCCACACAAAAAACTAAATACCGATTCATAAGCAATGAAAATAGCTAGTAATGTTCATCAACTGTTGGCTTGAGTGGAGCTGTTGGGCAGTTGGCTTGAGCGGGAGGGCATTGGTCAAGAGAAACTGTCAGTCTTACAGACAGTTCAGGAGCTCTAGTCTTCATCAGGGCACCTTGCTGTCTCGGAGCACAATTCCTCTGTAGTAACAGCTCCATAGGTATCTAGTCCTCAATGGCCTAAGTGTAGCGTCCACCTGGGTGATGCCTTGGCCGCTGAGGCGGCAAAGCACACCACACATCAGCCGTCGTCCGGAAAAGTCCCTACTATGAGCATTATCAGCCATCCCATCCCCGCACACAGTCCTTATCCTTCTTAATCTATGGATTTCACATGACTGAGCAGGGGTGCAGCCATGGGTGGACCTTGGAGGGCATAAGCCCACCGACTTGGCAGACAGGCCCAGCCAATCAGAATGAGTTTTACCCCACAAAATGGCTTGATTACAAACATAAATACTCCTCAGCTCAAATGATCCCGCAGGTGAAGAAGCCAGATGTGGAGATCCTGGGCTGGCGTGGTTACAAGTGGTCTGCGTTGTGAGGCTGGTTGGATGTTCTGCCAAATTCTCTAAAATGACGTTGGAGGTAGCTTATGGTAGAGACATTTACATTTAAATTATCTGGCAACAGCTCTGGTGGAAATTCCTGCAGTCAGCATGCCAATTGCACACTCCCTCAAAACTTGAGCCATCTGTGGCATTGTGTTGTGTGACAAAACTGCACATTTTAGAGTGGCCTTTATTGTCCCCAGCACAACGTGCACCTGTGTAATGATCATTCTGTTTAATCAGCTTCTTGATAGGCCATATCTGTCAGGTGGATGGATTATCTTGGCAAAGTAGAAATGCTCACTAACAGGGATGTAAACAAATGTGTGCACAACGTTTAAAGGAAATAAGCTTTTTGTGCGTATGGAACATTTCTGGGATGTTTTATTTCAGCTCATGAATGGGACCCAACACTTTACATGTTACATTTATATTTTTGTTCAGTGTAATTAGCTTGACATCCAGTGTTGCATTATTCAACATTACTATTAAAAGACTACTCCTTTATAGTACCTCATTCTGTGGTTTGGTAACTTTCTGTTCTATTGACAGACTCTGGCCAGACTGAAGATGGCATGCGTTTCTCAACGGAGCCTCGGATGCAAGGGGGCGCTGCGATGCCACTTCGTTGCGGACGGTTCCCATTGAAATGAATTACTTTCGTTGCAACGCAATAGACTGCAAATTCTGGATGTAAACAGGGCATAACCAAGGGGTCAGAGAAGTCACATTTTTTAATAGTAAATAAGACACTTTAGCAATGATCTTTGTACACAAAACATCCATTAAATTATTCAATTAATTGTCTTAGAGGCCGATTTTTATTTATTTATCACTCACAGCCGAAGATATTATAATTTAATATTCATCCAATGTCTGTCATGCTTCTTGACGATGTGATGACGTCATCACTGCTCAGGCTTGCTCCATTGCACACTGAGTGCTAGTGTGCAGGCGTTATCAGCTCTGTAACCTGGTTCTAGAAAGAATGCGAACATGAGTAGATTACGTATAAATACCGCACGAAAAAACTGCACGTCTGCGAAGCAAGGTTCGCTTGAAGCAGCGTAGTTTACGCTTCGACTCTATTTTCTTCGGCAGCTAGAGCTTTGCAGAGATGAAGATGCAAAGAAATAAGCACATAATATCAAATATAATTTCACAAATCTCAATAATCCTAAAACTAAGTAGGAAAATAGCATTTTAGGATTGCACTAAAAAAAGACAAATCTAAGTTGACACAATTGTTGATATCTCAAATAATTTTAATTACAACAAACATGCAAATTTGTTGCTGAGGTTGAAATAAAATCCTTCCATTATGAAATCAGATACCATCCCGTTATGAGATGAAGCAATTTTAGTTCCTCATTTAGTTCTCGAGTGAGCGAAGAAAGCTGTTTGGAGAATTGTCATGACACCTCTGATCTTTACCAGCGATAGTTTCTGTGATAGCAAAGCCCATAGAGGGCTTTTATCTCGCTATTCATCTCTATGCCGTGGTCACACTGGCGCCTGAAGAGATTTTGAATGAAAATAGATCTGTATGAGGCTGTGCAACATAATGTCCATTTCACAGGGATTTTCTATTTATAGAAACAAATCTATTCCCTATCTTTATTTTTCATTTGTCTACCTTACCCTACCGCCAGGGGCGGTGTGTTCATTAGGGTGATATGGGCGACGCACTGCCAAACGGGAAAAGGAAGGGATTTGTTTTCTAATCAATTATATCACAGCAACAGTAGTTATCAGTGTTCTAATCTAGACGTCTGATCTGCCACTAAATGTCCAATCAGGCTAAAGTCGTGCTTCAAATGGCCCCGCCCCTTTTGGGGCGATTTCAGTCAGGTTGAAAATCGCCCCAGAAGTCTCTCATAGACTCTCATGTAAAATCTTTTTTTTTTTCAAATATCAGAGCTTTCAATACAATCTCTATGGGTTCCGGGAGGGCTTGCACTTACGCGCTTTCGTCATACGTAACATAACCATGAACGTAACTAAGAAAAGAGCGGGTAGCAGCGTCAATCAATTCACATACTACTGTCAAGATGGCTAGCGTTCAGTGCAACTCGATTGTCTCTTTGAAAGAAGTTCCTTTTTGTCGGCGAACAAATCAAGATAAATTGGCAACGAAACAATTAGGACCTCCCAGACCAAATTTAATAATTCAACAGGTTTCTACTAAAGGGGGAAAGTCCTACACCCGAGGATTTTCCAAAAATTGGTACGAACGAAAAACCTGGCTAGCAGGCTGCGATGTAGCTAATGCAGTCTTCTGCTACCCCTGCTTACTCTTTCACCCTGAAGGCGGCACGGCAGACAGCACCGCTTGGACAGCGACTGGTGTAACGGACATGCACCATCTTTCAGAAAAGATTAAGAAACATGAGCTGTCAAAGACCCACATG